CGGGGCGGAACGGGGGCCAGGGGGCCAGGGACTGGTTCATAGGTGCAGTCTGGTTTGTCCCCAACCACATTTTATTGCCAGACAATTCTGGAAGGAACAGATAAAAATAGCTCACGCAGCTAAGACATCCCCCCACCTGCCCGCTTTAAATGTCTACAAAATGTGCTTGGATTTGACTCCCCCCGCTTATTTACTCCAGGGTGCTGTTTCCTCTTATGATCGGTGAGATGTGCTTCTGGAGCCCCACCACTACCCATCCTTGTGGTCCGTGTCCTCCTGGACCCGTCTCACCACAGCGCACGGAAAGTCTGTGTGGCACGCACGTAAACTGGAGTCTGGGCGAGATGCCTCGCCAGCCCCCCGATTCGGGTGGACAGGTTCTGTTGGGGTTTTCCACTTTAAGTCTCCGAGCTAGACGAAACTGTAGAAACCTAATTTTCCAGTCACAATTTGCTCAGTGTTTTAAGTCACCTATCGAGCCATTTGAGTCCAAAATACTAGGACCTGTGCCTATGCCTGTCAGAATTCCACTTCCAAATTATAATAAACCAGGGACATTTTAGAAAATTTTTTTCAGTCCTCTTCATACCTTGACAGTGGGAGGTGAGCCAATAGCAGAAATGGAGAAAAAACAAGGCTATAAAAACATAAACACTATTGATTTGGGGAAGAAATAAAATGGAAATAGTTTCCATAAGGTAAAGAAACTATAGACACCCTCAAAAACAATTTAAAAATTAATCAGAGGACTACATTAATCACATCACCCAGAGAACACGAAGGGCCTCCTGACACTTCCGCCTCCATGCACAGCGAGGCCTTGCCCGTTTAACAGGTCCCCTGCATGTTCACTAAAAAGTTGTCCCTGTACCCACAAGCCAGTGGACCGGGGGGGGGGGGGGGGGGGGGGGGCGGGGAGCCTGGAGCACCTCCAGCAGCGCATGGCTCTCTGGGCTCAATGAGGATCCTCGACCCCAGGTCAGTGCAGACAATGCCACCTCTTAAGAGTCACTGCCCCCCACCCAGAAAAGCACCCTCTGCAGCCAGCCAGGGAGGCAGGTGGAGTCCTCGTGGGGACGTAGGCTTCTGTGTGCACTGTGCTCTGCTACCATCCCACTATCACAACTGTGAAGTGATGCTCTGGGGACAGCGGTGGAGACACAGCTGCTACTCACCAAGGCCGAAGTCGTATTTGCTACTGACCTTTAACTGTCCTCCCAATCACTTTTGGGAAGATGCCGTTTCTGGGATAACAAGATCAAATGCAACTAGCTCAAAACTATGTCCCTTATGCATGCGATTAATTTTGGATATTCATCAAGTTTACTTCTGAGACGTCAATGTGCTGGGAAGGGTACTCAATCATTAATGTTTCAACTTTCTGTCACCCGAAGCACTTGGAGCTTCGGTGAGGAGCTGGTGTAGAAAGAGGAGGTGAAGAAACCCGTCTGAGCAGAGAGACCGGCCTCCCTGTGGAGCCCTCCCCCACCCCCCCTTTTCCCCTGAGAACAGTGAGCAGTAAGAGCCTAGGGAGAGCCATGCTGTCCCACTCTCCCAGTGACACCCCCCACTCTGCTGCGCACCCCACAACTCCGCTCCTGGAGCCTCAGGGCAGCTTTCCAGTTCTAGCCAACAGAGACGGCGAGGCTGACTTGAAATCAACCACCAGGGCTCTGGAGGCTGTGCCCTGGGTTTCCTTACTCTGTCATGGGCCTCTAGCCACTTAGGGCTTTTTAGCAATCGATCATACCCCCTGTTCACAAGTAAGTGGTGCAGATTTTTAGGTATGTTCATGACCTCTGTGCAAATAAATGCTACTTTGTAGAGGTGCTATAATTTGATGAAAATTTGAGACATGATCTTAGCATGAAATTCTCTGCTCAAACAACCTAAAATGTATCCAGACTTATTTTAATACAACTGGTTAATTCTGCATTTAATAACTTATTCCTAAAATAAGTAAACCTAGTATTGCTTTGCAATTGACTTGAAACTCCATTTCTGAGGCCTTGGGCCATTTACATTCTCAACATGAGTATTTAGACACAGTTTTCCTACCTACACTTCCCTGACCTCTACCTACACGAGTACCCTCCCTCAGGTGATTGCTAACAGGCTGACTAAAAGGAGAATGCAGTACACCTCTGTAGTCTTGGAATTTGGGGCTACTTAACCTTTTGGTACTGTAAAAAGAGGCATGAAATAGTATAAGAGACAGCATAGAAGCCAAATTAAAAATAATCTTAATAGAGTAAGATGTACCCTATAGTTCTGTTTAAATTTCCAATTTTTAATTTTGGAGAGTTGGGCTGAAAACCAAGAAGAAACTATTGTAAAAAGGTTCGCACTGCATAATCAAACCTGGGACTTTAAAGATCTACAGGCAATGCCTTGACTCCCCTCACGTGAAGTCTGGGGCAGACTCACTTTAGAAAGCGCATCACGTCACTTACCGTGTAACACAGAGCCGCAGGGACTGGCCTTCAAAACGTGAGCGTGTGTCTATGTGGGTGTGTCGTGTGTGGACTGGACATGAAAAAATTTCTGCCCGGTCAAACGTACTCTGACTGCTTAAAATAGTCTTTTACATAAGATCAACACTGATCTGCAGTACAAAAATTCCCACAGTGTACAAAAGAAGTGATGACTGCACGTGCTAAGAGCAGACAACGTAGAAAAACAGAGAGCTGCAGGCTTGTCACAGAATGGCAACTGACGCTTGGACGCTGATGCGTTCTGAGCACCGGCCAGCGTGTCTGCTCAGTCAGGCCTCGCTGAACATAAGACGGATACTTACCAGAGCCTGACAAGCAAACAGATTAGACACACAGCAACCGCAAGGGGGTTTGTACAGCTTTGTGGGGATGGGCTGGGGGCGGGGGGCTCATGGGCCTTTGCCTCCACCTCGGGAGGTGCAGTGCTACACGCGGCCACAGCTCCCGGCTGAGGCCAGGCCTGAGTGCAGGGCCCTGCAGAACGCCCGGGAAGGGTCCAGATGCTACCCCTAGGTGATACATACATTTATACAACAGTGCCGGCCAGAGGGCAGCAGTGTGTTCTGGCTTCACTGCATTGTAATTGTGGTCGCTTGCCCAGGACGGCGTGCTGCTCTCACAAGTCGTTTCCTTAATAACGACCTCGTTCCTAGCAGGGGCCGCCAGCGCCTTCTTCACGGTGTTCTCCTTCTTGTCTGGAACTGGTTTCTTGTGTATGGAGGAGATTCTGATGCCTGCCTGGATAAGCAGTAAAACCCCAATAATTAAAGAGGTCAGAGCTAACCTTGGTTCACCTCACTTCTCAACGAAGGAAGGACACACTCGGGGTCACTTCAGGCCCCCTCACTGCCCTGCACGTGCACACCAGTCGACCCTCACAACCCACCGTTAATTGCCGAGACTCCAGTGTCTGAGTGACAAGAAGGCCCGACACGAAATAGCCTGTAATATGGCTGAGCTCCAAGTGTGGTGGGGCCACAAGGCGAGAGCAGGTAGGGAGGACCTTGGGGTGAGCACAGTTGGCACCCCGGGCTCCCGCCAGGCGCGCTGCACGTCACCCTTACTGCACACAGCCACAGCTGCTGCTTTGGCAGTTCTGGTTCAAAATTACCAGTTTTAAAAATGAAATCATCTAAGGGATAAACAGCACTCTCAATGTCCAGAAAACTGCCCCAATAGCACTCAACAGCCTCGCTTGTCACAAACGTAATGGGGGCTGCAGCACGGCAAAGCCCACCTGAGCTAACACTCCAGGAAAGGTCTTCAAGTGTAAGCCGAGGGCTTGAGTCCTGCAGCACCCTCGATCCTTCCCAAATCACATGTGGCACCAACACGGGCCCACGGGAGAGCTCGTCCTACCAAAGGCAGGCCTAACAGCCCCTCACAACCCCACTGGCCGGCTGTCAGCTGCTTTCCACGTGACCACCCCCGTCACCAGCTCTCCCAGGCCGCTGCTTCATGGACAGAAAGGAGGCTCAGCTTGCCCACAGCAGCCGCTGCCTGGTTTGCTCTGCTGCGTTTGTCTCCGTTACTCCCTCAGCTAGAGGGCGGAGGAGAGAAAACATCAGAATGTGCTTCTCTGTCATTGACGACAGAGCCAGTGGAAACATGGAGGACAACGGGAAAGGAGCTGACACGGGCCGCACGCCTCAGCCACTGCCCCGCGTCCTACAACCAGGCACGTCTGCAACAAAGACACTTTCTGCTTCGACCATTCAGACGGCTGGTCTTGTGGCCGTCCTGGTTAGTCGAGGGGCGAGGACCCCGCCCGTCAAATGGCTGGTCTTGCTCAGCTTACCTGAACGCTGCATTTTGGAAGAATGAGCTTTTCTGGCTTCGGCTTGGTCTTTTCTTTCGGTTTCGGTTTCACTTCTTTCCCTGAACTCAGAAACTTCATCGTGGCGGCCGCGTGTTTGAGAATGCAGTCGTTGCTGCAGTAGACAGAGTCGGGCTGCGCCACGCTCGAGCACCCGGGGCCTATACACTTGGCGGCACCCGGAGCCTCTGTGACCTACAGGATGAAACATGTGCCTTCAGACAACACACTTACTGGCCGCAGCAGTCACGGTGCTTTGTAAAATCACTGTTTACAGCACTGAGGCCAGCGTTTCTCATCCAGAGACACTAACAGTATCTTAAAGTGAAGAAAAGCTCATCTCTTGTTCATGCCCAGCACACAGATCTACCTCCCCCGGGGAAGGCCTGCACATTCTTCACACCACTCGTGATGGGCACAACTCCTAGGGGATGCTAGGACCCCGCCCCCAGTACACACATTGTGATGTCACGCCCACAATTAGGTCCCCTTATAGGGAAAAGGGGCAGGAGTTTCTGCCGATGTAATGAAGGACCCAAATAAGACTTTGAATTAATCCAAAGGGTCTGACTCAGTTAGGCGAAAACCCAAAGAGGGCCTGGCCCTCCGGGGAGAAAGATGCCACTGCTGACGGTGAAGCAAGCAGCCCTGACATGAGGGCCGTGTGAGGCTAGGCTCTGGGGTGAGGGTGACCCCAATTAAACCTGAATCTGATGCACAGCAAATGGCCTTCAGTATGAGGACACAAAAGCTGCACAGAACACAGTCACATACTGAACCGTGGCAGACCTTTTGGAGGTGGCTATTTCCCCAGCCGGCCTCTAATGAGACCCCAACCTCTGCCGACCCTGGGGTGCAGCCCTTTCCTCTAAGACCCTGAGAGGGCACAGCAAGGCCGGGCCTGGGCTTCTGATCCTGCAAACTGAGCTGAGAAATGTGGGTTGTTTTGAGCTAAGTCTGGGAATTCGTCACGTTGCTTAGGAGGTGACCCACGACAAGTGGAGCTGGTCACTTCTATTCATAATCACTGAGGGGTTTTGACAGTCAAGGCCAAACACACGTGACCATGTCCCTCCAATGTAGTTGTACTTAAGCAAAAGCTTACTTCTCACAGTAAGTGTCTGAGAGAACTGTTTTTCCTCCATAGAAACCAACAGAATTTAAACTTCTGTCGTCCAAACACATGGACAATAAAGATGGGAAATTAAGATGATTTTCCCACTAACTGACATTTCCATTAATTTTCCTAATGACTAAATGTGTTAACAGTTAACACACGTCCACTGAGCACCTCGGAACCCCTCAGGAAAGATAGTGAAATGGTCCACCCCACAGCACGCTCACCTTGCAGCTAACACAGCTCCAGGCTATTGGGCACATGCTTCTGACCCAGCCACCCCAAAGCCTTGGGCACCCTACACCCGCTGAAAGATGCACAGTGGGCGTGGGCAGGACCCAGCCGGGGCCACACCATTCCAGGTTGGCCAGCTGGGACTCAGGAAGGCTGAGTGAGGCCGTGCCAAGCGGGGCAATCGTGAAAGCCCAAGACAGCTCGCTCAGCTGAAGCTGAAGACACTTGGAGAATGTGACAAAGCACAGTGGTCCTCAAGGGGCCTGAAAACCAGCCAGGAAGGAGAATTGAGTTGGCTCAGGCACAGTGAGCGCCCAGGACCACCGCAGAGGGTCGGTGCCCCTGGCCAAGGTGCCCTTATCACCCCATGGAGACACGTGACACCTGCCACGCCTACCCTTGGCATCTCCAGTGAGGCAGGTACAAGACCTCCTGTTCTCAAGATGGTGCCAGGTGAGACAGGTGCACACTCACTTCAATAACACAAAGATAACTGGAAAACGGTCCACCAACAGTAACAGTATAGGAGGCGGACAGGTGCCATCAGGAGCAGGGGGGCCCTAGAGCCAAGAGCAGGACTGTCTTTCTACCCGAGGCCCTGTAATGTCGCCCTCCACTGCCAACCCCCGGAGCTGGTACTCACAGGCTGGAATATCTTGAGCTTCTTCTTGCCACTTGGGTTGGCAGCCTTCTCGATCCTGCCCTTTATGCCCTGGTCCTCGATGCTCTTCTGCTCCACGATCCCTATACTCGTACAGTCTGTGTCATCGGTGTCCGCAGGTCGGAGTCTCGCTTCCTGCGGGTCTGCGCTTTCTGAGTTAGGGTCGTCCTGCACCTGAAGAATGGTGCAGTTGGGGCAGATATAATCCTCCCCATTCCTTTCCAGGAGTCGCCCTCGAGCCTCAGAAATGCCCACACAATCGCCATGAAACCACTCTTCGCACCGGTCACAGCAAATCATAAACCTGAAATTAGAAAATAACCAGGGATGGAAAATGAAGAGGTAAACACTCAACTTAGACACATTATTAATGTCAATGGTTTCAACAACACGCTGTTACAAAAAAAAGCAAATGTACAGAGAAGTGGGGAGAACAGGAGGACACCCACATGCCCCTCTTAATGTTAACATTCAACCAGACGACTTTTTGTTTTTTGAGTGGAGCATTCGGAGTGAACTACAGGCTCCATGGCACCCTGGTGACTGCAGTACCCATCCACATGAAGTGGCAACAGGGCCTTCACCCACCCTCACAGCACCAGAGGCTCGGAGCTGCCCCAAATGTCCAAACTGGGGTCCAACCAGCCTCATGTGTCCCGCTGAAACAGCCTAGGGCAGCGTGGCCCGAGAGGGACCTCTGGGGTGACAGCAATGACTAGTCTGTGCCCCTCGCACTGTCTGCTGTCCACATGCTCCTGTGACCGAGGCAGTGAAAAGCCCCACGTGGCCAGTGGCCCCTATCGGCGCGTGTGGCTCCAGTAGCCCCTTTGTTTCTTTTCAGCGACCTGCTCATGGTTGTTAGCTCCCGAGCCCAGCTTTGTAAACTAATCAAAGCGGACGGCCAGCTGGCCAACCCAGCGCAAGAGCGGGCAGCCGCTGCTCCTCCCGAGACCCACCTGTTGTTATGCGGCTGGCGACATATGCAGTACAGAGCGTTGGGGTCGTAAACCTCACACTCGGGCTTATGTCTGACCGAGCCTCCGGGGTCTTCGTCTTGGGCTCCCTCGGCCCGAGCAGGCCCTTCTGACTTACTCTCCCGGTCGTCTTTTGCTGCCTGGGCGGCCGCGGGCTCCTGCCTGCTGGGTGCTGAGCTCTCCACAGTGTTGCCCACCTCCGCGCCCAACGCTTCCGCAGGGTCTTCCTCCCGTCGCTTCTTCCGCAGGCGGTTTTGGGCGCCTTTCAGCGGCCGATCAGCTGGCTCTTGCTCTCGCTTTCTTCGCAGGCGGTTCTGAAGCTCCTTCAGAGTCAAGCCATCGCTGTCACTATCGGAAGTGTCGTCCTCGTCATCATCCCCCGTGGCCTTGGCAGATGAGGCCGGCCGTTCCTTACCAGCTGCGGAGCCGGCCTTGGGCCCACTTTTCATCTCAGAGGCACTCTCCACGCTCCCTTCAGAGGCGGTCTCAGCATCGGTAGCTGGGCACGAGGCTGGCTCACTGGGGTCCTCCAGGGAGGCAGGCGCGCTCCTCCGGCCCCGGCGCCGGACTCGCGTGAGGAACTCCTCCACGCGCTCGGTCCGCTTGGGCTGCCTCCCACTGCGCCGCAAAGATGGGCTCTGCTGCTGCTGGGGGGGCCGCTCCACACAGTCCAGCTCCGCGTCCCCAGCGCCCTCTCGCTTGGCAATGGTGGTTCTTCGGAAGCCCCATGTTTTCCTGAACTCTTTACTGGTGGGTTTGATGACCTTGGGCGCTTCGCCATTGCTGGGGTCACCTTTGTCATCCATACCTAACAGTGAAATGCAACCAAACCACATCCAGTATTAGCGAGGCCACACGTCTTGGCGAAGGAGCAATTCGCCAGAGCTAGAAGAGGCAGAGCACACAGACCGTCAAGAACACACGGTTAGAGAGCTCACCGCCATGTATGACACATGGGGGCACCACCACCTTGTGAGTGGAGGAGACTCAAGGACACGAGTGAGGTAGAACAATGTTCTACCTACAGAAAGTGGGTGTCTATTAAAGGAAGTTATCTTGACTAGTGTTTCCTCAAGTGTGGTATGTGACATAATTTAAGGGGATTCTTGAAGAAAATTTTCATAGTTATGTATGTAATGTTTAGAAGAAAAACACAGCTAGCAAACCTGTAATTCTGCCACTGAAGTGCTCAGCACCACACTTAATAACAGGCAGCGGGGAATGCCAAACGCATCACAGCACAGTCCGCTGCAGCGGAGCGGAGCTGGCTTGCTGGCATGCTTGCGTGGACACATGGGGTCCACCCCACCCCCAGCTCTGACCGCAGGCACAGTGGACAGAACACCATGCCAGTCCCAGGCCTAGGAGCCCCAAGCTGCCGCGTGACAACTCTGACCATCATGCCAGACCCCACGTGCGGAGGGGGTGTTGGGCCCGTCTGCGGGGCCAACTGCCTCATGACCCCGTGGACGCCTTGTAGAGAAGGCTCGCCCAGCTGGGTCCTGCCCACTCACTGAGCTGCGACTCAGGAGACACAAAAGGGCACCATGGGGTCTGCCGAGCTCTGGGGACAGCAGTTACACAGCAACAGACAATCAGGACACTGAGGAGACCTGAGCTGGGCACGAGCCTGGACGGGCACTTCTTCCCAACAGACCATTCAAGGGCCATGTTTGTGAAAACCGCACTTAAGTTTATACCTTGAGAATTCTTTTTCAAGCCGTCCAGCTTCAATCACACTGCAATGCTAATGACGACGCAGATCTTATACCATGCTCCATCCTCGGGGAAGGACTGGGACAGAATAAGAAACCTTCAAAACAGCAAATACACAAAATTGAAAATCACAGGCAACCCAGTTCTTTCTCTGCTTCCCACTCAGTGTTGTCCCGTCATTTCCTGGCCAGCTCTGTACATCCTTCACCATGTAACTGGGCCTGTACGGTCTCGGGCCACTCAAACTTTCTGGAGTGGCCGTAACATTAGCACGTGTGCCACTGAGGACCACACCACTTCTCTGGTCACCTGAAGTGACAAGAGAACTAAATTGGGGAGCAAATGGTGATTCCAACTCAGGGTGCTCTGGCTAGTGGCCCTGAGCAAGTCACACGGAACCGCTTCCATCCAGGAGGCAATGCTGACCTTATAAGTTAAAAAGGTTGGGAGCTTTAAATGTGAGAAACAACACGAACCCTCGATGACAGCCGTGCTCCTGAGCTGTTATTAAACCACAGAAATCACAACTGTTTACCCATCCAAAGTGTTACTACTCATGCAAACCAACCTGCAGCAAATTTGACAACCATCTTGAAAGGCGGTAAGTCCTCATTTCACACAACATTTGGCATTTATACAAAATATGCGGTTTGAGGGGCCCTGACCAGCCTGTGCCAGGAAGGGCAGGTAGCCGCAGTCCCTCCACCTCAGAGGGTCGGGTCTTGGACTCCATAAAGCTCACTCAGGGCTGGGAAAGAAGCCTGATCCCCACTGCAAAATGGTTTTTTGCCAGAAGAACTCTCCTCTGCAAGGCGCAGTTCACCACAGAGAGAATATACAATGTCATGGTCTACGTACTAACAAAATAACCAACGTAAAACTACATGCTCTGAATCAAATTCTTAACACATCACCCAACATCCATCTAAAAACCTTAGGACTCAAGTTGAGACTATGTCAAACAAATATGAATGTTACATAGTATTACTTTCTTTACATATAATGAATGCCACCTTAGAAATAAAAAACTTCAAACCTATTAAGTTAAAATTTTGCTATTGACATTTAACACTACTGATACGTTACCTGCCCCAACACCGAAAGCTTGCACACTTTCCAGACGTCCTCAGTACAACAGAAAGCCTGGCCGACGCAATCACCTGGTCCAGGTAAACAGCCAGGCCTCAAAACACTGCTGCGGCCAGTCACTGCTCACCAGTAACAACTCGGATTATCCTGAGACTGCTCCCACGAAGTGAGTTCCTAAAAGAAAGGAAGACAACAGTTTATAGAGATCTTAAATAACTATAACTGAAACCACATTAAAAAAGGCAACAACAAACGTCAATGCAAGTAATCTGAGTGTACATTATGTGACCTACAAAGACACTTGGGGAGAAAACCTAAAAAACACGAAACATGGTTCCCTTCCTTGAAAGACTTAAAGAGAAAATACTGACTACATGGGGACTAGGACAGGCCATTGGAGAGGTAAGAGCAAGCTTGCGGGTAGAGAACAGAGGGTCTTGGAGGGACAGAAGATTTCAAAATCAGTAGTCAGTAGTCAGGTGTTAGCTGCCTTCCAGCTGTAACCCTATTTTGGAGATGGACCCAGCCCAATAAAAAACCCAACACACAGAGAAATGCGAACAAACGTGAAAAGGCTGAACAACAAAATTAACTATGAATGTAATTACGTAAAAATTCTTAATACTGTAGCTATGCCATCCTTTTAGTTAAAAACCTAAGAAAGGTTTTATAACTGCTTATTACTCCAAGTCCATCTACATGTATTTAAAAATCACTTCTCTTCCTACATCCGCTTTCAATAGCCAGGCCTAGTTCAAGTCTCACTAAATATGGCTCTGTTCCTAGATGAGCCCTAAATCTTTTAACATATTTCACATACTACTCCCAAGTATCCGAGCCAGCAGACCTGCACCTCACCTCGCCTCTTCCAAGCCTCACTCCAACTGCCTTCTGTGTAACTGTGGTCTCCTTAGTGACTTCAGAACAAAGACATTCTGTCACACCTCCTTTTAAAGAGACAGTGACTATTTCGCCCTGATAAGCTAAATTCAACACCACCAAACCTCTCAAATGTGGTAAACCCATCTCAAAACGAGGCTTCAACAGTTTGCAAACTTTACTTCTCAAAAGAAACTGGATTAAAAAAAACAAAACTGGAAACAAACCTTACTTTATTTCACAACACTGAGCGAAGAAATTAAGATATTCTTCTCAGAAATGAAAGCAATATTATGTTATTTTGAAAAATAAGCATGTGTCTGGATTTGATTTATGTTCTGAATAATTAATTGGAAAGAAAAATCTAGTTATTTCTGTTGAGTGGAATGAGATAAAGTACATATTCAGAATAGATGAAATCATTTTAAATAATTTGGTTCATTTATTTGGACTTTTATATTTGGCAAAATTGATATCTTTTCATATTTCTTCAATACAAATTCTAAAATAAACCGTAGCTCATGAAACAAAAGCATATAAAGACGAAAGAAAAACAAAACATCTACAGTCAAGTACTAAAGCTCCTAACACAACTTAGATTTAGTGTGTAACTCCACACACTACAACACATTTCATGAAAAGTATGGGGAGAAGCCTGCATTCACACCATATTAATAAAATTTTTATGGAGAAAAAAAGACAGGCATACCTGAAACTGAGAAAGTGAAAAAAACCAGAGGTGAACATTCAATGTAATGGAATATCTAAAATTATATTTCTACATTTCTGAATGCAAATTTTTTTCTCAGCTGAAAACTGCTGCATTTCCCACTAACCAGACAGAGGAATAATGCTATGAAAGCTTCGGTTTAAAAATCTCAAGGGCTTTGTTAACAACAGGTCGGTGGGGTGACCTGCAGGACAAATGGCTGAACAGGACCCGGCCTGCCTTCAAAGTTCTTGAAAGGCAACTCTCCAGCCTTCTGGTCTCAAGGCCTCTTTACACCCTTAAGCAACAAGGACCCCAAGAGCTTTCATGTATGTGGGAGACACTGGTATTTCCAAAATTAAAACTGAGGAAGGTTTCCAGGTAACCGTGGATGTCCTCTGACATCACATCAAACCCCGACATTGTGACACAGGAACAGACCCCGTACCAATGAACGGCACACACTCACCACCGCAGTCTGCCTTGCGCCTGCCCTGCACAACTGGTCCCCGCACGCCTCACCAGAAACCCCGCTTGGCTGACTCGTGGGGAGTTCAGACTCTGCACGTTCCATCAGACCACACAGAAGACACGCACCCCTGTCCTCCGATGGCTTTAATTATTGGCAAGCCATCAAGCTCACAATGGCAGCTACAAGCTTTTCAAATTCTAAGGCCCATTTGAAAGCTCAGATATCACTGTTTCAACAGATACTGCAGGCTGCTTTCCTTGACACTCACATCCTTCATCTTCAAGAAAGTGCCTGCAAAACACTTAGGGAAAACTGCAGCTGGACGCTTCTCGGCTAACAACTCACCCCCAGGGGCCCAGCCACCCGGCCTCTGGGTGCAGCGGAAGTGCTGATGGTGTCCCTGCCACTTCGTCAGAGGAGTGTTAAAAAGATGTACTCGGAGGGCTGAGATTTAATGAAAGTCAGTCTTTAGTACTCCATCAAGGACGTTTTTAAGTGAAGCCAGCATATCTCCGCCACTGGTGCAGAGGTGGAGAGCAGCTGTGAGCTCTGGTGTCACTGCCGATTTGCTGCTGCACCACTGGTGCACATGGCCACTCCGCAAGGAGCCTGACAACACCCACTGTCACAGCCGACAGAGTTCTGACCTCTTAGCCCCCGGAAGGGTTTAGGGGACCGTCAGGGGCCCAGTGAACACAGAGAACGTCTGTAACGAGCCATTCCTATTAGTGGACAAACACACCGCATACGTCTAAGCACTAATGTATCCGCGCGTCAGTGTCAGAACCATCTCCTCCCACAAAACCATTCCCAAACAACCGCTCAACCTGACCCTCAGTGTCTCCAGCTCTTCAAAATGGTAAGATGCCAGAGTGAATTTCTTAAAAACAAAACCCAAAACACCCTCCCCAAAGAATCGTGTGTTCCTTAGAAACTGCTGCAGAGGTCAGTGCTGCACAACGACCACCAGGGCGCACCTGAAGGCGCCACTTCTAGGAAGTGTCTTGAGGACACTACCTGTGACCTGCCCACTTCAAGTGGCCCAGTTTCTCTCTGAGACACTAAAATACGCTTACGGGCTGGCCGAGTGGCCTGTTGGTTAGGAGTTGGCTTGGGACGGCAGCTCTGAGCAGCAGGGCCCCGGTTTGGATCCCACATGAAGACCAGTGATGCTGCGCCCTCTACAGCTAAGATGGTGAACAACAGCTCGACCTGGAGCTGGGCTGCCGTGAGTCGCCGGCAACGGCGTAGGCTGCAGCCCCTGCTGCAGTGGGCTGCCGTGAGTGGCCAGCAGCTGGCGAGAGCTGCTGTGAGCGGCCGTCCAATGGCCAACAAGCGACTGCCTCACTCAGGAAAAATGCAATGATCACAATACCAACATGGGCCAGTGAAGTGACGTCCTCCACAACTAGACTGAAGAACACAAGAACAGCAACTTGTCTGTTCCTCTTCCCCAATCCCCCAATACTGTTCCCTCCCCAATAAAATCTTAAAAAAAAAAAACCAAACAAACGCTTACAACTACATTAAGGCTCCTGATTTCACAGCACGACAACCAAGCAGCAGCGCATACCAGCCCCACCTGTGGGCAAAACCTTGTATTTCCCCAAATCTCATAACCACTTGAGACAATATTCAAAACTAACAATTTCAACTTTGAAACAATTCGGACCTGGCAGTCAGAACTTACAGTCCAATGCTGTAACATACCTCATTATTTTGGACTCTTGCTAACTCGGGATTTTTAACTGACAGGCCAGCCAGGCTGAATGAAGCTACTTATACTTGGTCTCCTCCTGACCCATAGATCCTTTGCTGTGGCGAGGAGGGAGTGAGAAGAGGCCTCCCCTCCTAGATCCCATGGGTCTGCAGCAGCAAACACCTCGCTTGACCACTGAACACAGACGGCAGAGGTTTGGGCCCGCGAAGTAAACTAAGAAATCCAGTTTTCCTTTGTTTGAATATCTTCACAGAACCAGAATCAACTGTATAAACGCATTTAAGCCCTTCGGATGGCTCCTTCGAAGTTCTGCAGCATAGTAATTAATACTGTCGTTATTAAAACTATTCTCATGATGCAAAGGTGCCCACAACCCAGCCCATTTCTCCAGAGGTGCAGAGAGCAATCTAGAAACAATGCTGCTGCCAATAGTGTCTTGGGCATTTTTGCTTTACAGATACACAGAGGTGAAAAGCAAACCCTGTCTGTCAGAACCGTCTGAGGGACTGACTGGCGCCTTAGCTGGGCTCTGGTGGGGCCGGGCCCCAGCTCCCTGGCCGTGGGTGCACTGGGTACTCTGGCTTCTCTCTATATATCCACTTCCTGACTGTGACCTCGGCAGGCAGCTCTCAGAGTGAGTCAGGAGCCAGAACAGCCATGTGCACTTGTCAGTGTTAAGGACAAGAAAAAGAGCTGAGGCTTCACAACTGTCCGTTTAATGGTGTGCACAGTCTCCCAAACTGCTGCCACCCTGGATTGATAGGCAGCTGTGGTCTGTGTCCCTCCAAATTCATGTGGAAACCTAGTACCCAAGGCCATGGGACTAGGAGGCAGGGCCTTTGGGAGGTGCTCAGATCACGAGGGTGGAGTCCCAGGAATGGGATCAGTACATTTTAAAAGGGACCCCAGAGAGCAGACATCTGTGACCCAGAAGAGGCCTCGCCAGGCCCCGCCCATGCCCACACCCTGATCTCGGGCCTCCAGAGCCTTGAGAAATAGACGTCTGCTGTGTCTTGTGAGCGCCAGGCTGCAGAATGTTACAGCGGCCAAAGCGGATGAGCCAGCCTCCTCTTATCACTCAGTGGACAAGAAAACATGGTTCCAAACACTGTGAAAGGGACCATCCGAATCCTACAGCCCAGGCGACTGGTGTTCGCTCCTAAGACAAGGCCACCACCTGGGTCCCAGCGATCCTTGGGCCGGTGCAGGCTCTTGATCTGCACACCATGAGACCTGCATTATTCCACAGCCCCCATACAGGTCACTCGCTCCTGTTTTCATTGTAGCGAGAGTTGTTTCAGAGTCAGTGAGAGCTGTGTATAATTAAAGAACACCATATAACAAATGCAGTGTCATTAGACACACAAAATCACTGTTCTGCTCCCACTGAGGCA